GAAAGCCTTTGAAATCTTATAGTTATATAAAAAATAATATATAAAAACAGATGGTTTGATTATTCCAAAATATAGAAATATTGATGATCAACACCAAAACTGTGACCTCTTAACCGAATAGAGTCGAATTTAAAAATTAATATGTTTGTCTACGAAAATCCTGCTCACACAACCAATCTCCTCAAATTATACAAAGAATGAATTTACACGTACGCTCAAACCTTGATTTATGTATACTTCTGATTCCAATGTTAATATGAGAAACTTGAAAACCATAAAATCCAACAAGACGGAAACATTTTAATTTCACGTTTGAAATTAATTATTTTGTTCATTGTAGATGAAGGAATTTTGATTCTAATTTCAAAATTAACGAGCGCAATTCACATAATCCAAGATAACAATATTGTACTTGGACATTATGAACCCATCATAAACCAACTAATTGAGCTCAAATGAAGCTCAACTGACCAACTAAAGTCTAGGAGACTTAAGGAAGCCTAAACTTAGTTTTTAACCTAGTCAATATAGAGACCACGAAATCCATCGAAAGCGAAAAAGATAAATCTAGATTGAACCAAAGATTATTGTACTTGCTGGTTGGATTTTCTTTTTCGAAAAGGAAAATATAAACTTATAATTTGTAATCCTATCCTAGTACAAATATGAAAAGTTTATATAAATTTGTAAGTTACTTGGAATTAGAATATTTGTTTCCAAAAAAATAAATTAGAAAAATCTTTCCTTTAAATAGAAGGGGTTTTGTTCACCTAATCATCCACAAATAATAATTTATCAAAAAAAGAAGAAAAATTGGGATATATTCTTCTTAGAAAAAAGAAAAAGAAAAAAAATCGGTTTGATCGATGGCTAAAAAAACAAAAAACGTATCGTCGTCCTCATCCCTTTCTAGTTTGCCCGACGAGATCGTGTTGGATTGCTTAGTCCGCGTGCCGAGAAGCGATTACGAGAGCGTGTCTTCCGTCTCCGGGAGGCTGAGGTCCCTTGTGCGGTCGCCTGAGCTCCAGCGGTTGCGATCCCTCCTCCACAAGGAATCCGTCTATGTCTGCTTCTGCGAAAAGGATAATTACCATGATCCCACTCCCACCTATCTATGGTTTACTCTCCGTCAGAGCAAGACAGCTGAGTATCACTTGGTCCCGATCTCGTTCCCTTGTCGTAAGTTCATGTTCAGATCTTCCACCGTCGCGGTGGACTCAGAGATCTACTTTATCAACGAATATCCAAAGCCCACCGAGCTGTGGATTCTTGATACCCGATCTGGTAAGTTACGTCAGGGCCCGATCATGCGGGAAACCCCATTTGCCGAGAGAAGCGCCGTGGGAGTAGTCGACGGGAAGATGTACGTGACCCAGGCACTGCAAAATGGCTCCACCCGAGAGGAGGTTTTCGATCTAAAGTCGCAAACTTGGCAAGTCCCCGGAATTGCTGTCCCTGATGACAAAGTGGACATCCGACTGATGATGGCGTCATGTGTGACGCTGGAGGGGAAGGTTTATGCCATGAATAATGGAAGCATCACCGTCTACAATCTTAGAGAACAGGGAAGAAAGGAGAAGCTGGAGATGCCAATTGATGATCGGGTTAAGCGGATTTGCTTGGCAGACAATCTTCTCTTTGCTCTTTTCACCAAGGGTGGCCTAATGTGGCTTGACACTAACCTCAACCTATGGAGAACTGTTAAAGGTGATGTGCAGCCGCTGCATTGCATGCTCTATAGCGGTGCCATGGCCGAATACTATGGAAAGCTACTACTTTTCTGGACAGAAACAGAAACACACACCGGCGACAAGGTTTGGTGTGCATTAATCGCCTTGGCTAGGCCTGGACAAGAAGTTTGCGGGACCGTCGAATGGTCTGGTGTTGTTGCCACCCTCCCATATGTCTGCCGCATTCAGCATTGTGTTGTTGCTTCAGATTAGTTATCTATAGATTAGCAGTTGTATTGCCGGAGGCAATCTTGTAGTATGAACTTTTAATCATTCATTACAATAAGTAGGATCATGAGCTGAATCATATCTAATTTTGCTGCTTGATTCTTGTTGTTAGGTTCTGGTCCCATCATGTTGTTGTGGACTGAGCCATCGTTATGATTTGAAACAAGATATGTAATCTATAGTTTGCTGCTTGATTCCCTGTATGCTTCTTCGATTATGATTCTTGTTTTGGGCATCATTTGGTAATGTTGTTGTTGTTGTGGATTAGGCCATCTTTATGACTTGAGCCATGCTGAAGCTAATGAAGTTTGGCATTAGAGAAGGGCGAGCTAATGAAGTTTTGAGAGAAACCAGACACGGAAATTAGAAAAAAAAAGTAGAGTTTGATCCTTTGCAACCGGAAATAGGAAAAAAAGAATGGTGAGCAAAGCACTTTTTCGATTACAACGGACGGACTTAAACAGAAACCAACCCAAAGATTAGTGGAGAATCTTGTTTTCAGTCCTTTACTCTTTGTTCTTGCTGAGCAAGTGGCGAGCTTTCGCTTTCAAATCCTACGTTTATGTGTTCTTTGTTAGTAAGGTTATTTACTCCTAGTATAAATACAGAGCCCTCGATGATCATCGTTTTACACAACATCATTTACTTAGCAAAATGAATCATATAGGTGGTGGTGGCGGCGGCAACAACAACAACGCTAACTATCTTGATGGTAAGTATTTTTGCCTTCAGGCTTTGGATATTAGGAATCATTTTGTATCTTAGTTCTGCAGTTTTTTCCCAAGAAATATAACTTTGGGGATCTTGGTAAGTCATTTTTTCTCTAGGCTTTGAATCGATATTAGCCTCTGAATCTGATTTAGCTCAATTGATGATAGACGCTAATCTAGTTTGGTGTGACTCAAGCTCTTGAATCAAATCCAATACAATCCTTACATTGAAGTATTAAAAGAATCTACATTTTATATATCGACGATTCCAAGGAAATGAATCATGAATGTATCTTATTATGTGTTGCAGTTTGAAGTTTCCTAGCTAAATGAAGAGGTTTTGCGGTTGCAGATGATGGTAAGCTAAGCTATTTTCTTTTCCCTCTTAGCCTTTTGATTAGACCCACGTAACAATTAATTTCCTCTAGCTAGTGTTTTGGTTTACTGTCAATATTTTGACATGGTTATTGTTTTGCTAGACTACCTCCTCGATGTAAGAGTAGAAGTGACCATATAAAGTGCTGGAGGTTGAGGATTCGGAGGTAGGATAGGGAAAGGTCCATATTACCCTGAGTGATATAACTGGTGCATCGTTGTCCTTCTTCTGCAGTCATAACGGACACAAACTTGCATGGTTACTGTTTTGTATTATACGTTGGTAGTATACTGCATAACAATTAACAAGGATAGGAATACTGGACAACGTTATTGAACAAAATGCTTGTAGAGAATAAAAGTGTGCGTATAAGTACGGGCCTGGTTCTTGCTCTTTAATATAATAAGAAACAAAGAATCTTCATATAAATTAATTATCTGATGGTAATAACAAAAAGTGTGCTTTTACTTTATTATTTGTTTGTTGCGAGTCAATATAACCCATGTCACAACTCTATAACCATATCACACAAAACGGAAACAAAAGCTAAAGTGTTGTCATTGGTAATGGTGTTCTCATAAGAAAAATAAGCCAGAAGTATTTGATGATCGTTCAACAAAAGAAAGCCAACATCATTTCACTCCCAGAGGATAAACTAATAAGATTCGAAATCGATTGGGAAATTAGTTATAATAAAACTAGCAAACACATAAAGAGTTGAATAGATAATATGCATAAAAATTAGTGGTGAATATTAGAAACCCCTCTCTCCAAGAAGAACTAAGGGCATCCGTATTGGTGAATTTTGGTGGGTATCATTAAATATAAAATTATTAAAATTTGAGTAAAAAGAAGAAAGAGAGTGTTTTTGGTTGAAATAA